ACATTAGGAAAACTGAAAGTGCATTTGTACCATATACCAATGTTTCTGAAGAATGGATATCTGATTCCTACGACAGTCATTCTTGTAAAATCCTTTTTAATTATCTCCTAGCTTATACAATGTCTCAGTGGCTTCTAAGTAAGCTCACCTCTAGGGGGTAGGACTTAGTTTGAAAATTCAATTAACCTTTTGAATCTGGCCAAATTAAAGAAGTCTGCACTTTTTAAAAACTGAATTTCTTGCGACTAGAAAATAGGAAAAAAATATCAGAATTCCTTTCTCAGTTCTTCTTATAGTCAATCACTGCTCCGCAGATTTTGAAGTACTAGATGAGACTTCTCATATTCAATCATTGCTCTATTCTAGAATTGTTCTGACTATTGTGTGCATGTGATCTAATTGAAGGAGCACATCAAAAAGAGGGTGAGAAGGAGAAGTCTAGTTTTTACAGACGACCTTATTTGTTAAGGAATACCTCTTAGGTGGGGTAATTATACTTAGATGGGCCAAAAATGGGGGGGGGGAAGAAGGGGGGGGAAGGCAGATTATAATCAAAATTTTACAGTTTTTTTTAAACAATCCAAATGTGACCCTTAAGTAGAACCTCAATAAAACTAAAGTAAGAAATTGCAGCATAGACCAAAAAGCTAATAATATACAATAATCACATTATTATAAGGAAATCCACTTATTGTCATGCAGCTAGAGTTATAATTGATGGTTAAGGTGGCTTGGGACATGTAACACCTGGCCCCACTCCACCCTCCATGTCCCATCCTATCATTGCCTTATATCTAGGAGTTATGTTTGAGTTCAGGTCTTTATTGTTGTTCCACAGCACTCCTTGGTAAACAGCAGTGTTGTAATGCAAAGGCGCTCAGATACACGTTAGTGGAAATCTGTATACCTGAGGTGCTTTGATAATTGTTTGCATCTCCTTGAGTCTGCAACTTGTTTACATTCCCTCCCAAACCAAGGCAGTCTTTTGCTGCTCTGAATCCAATACACAACACAATTAATAGTTCCAATGCATACAAGACCTTTTCCTGTAATTCCGTCATGTTCTCGATGCAAGTTAAATAAGAGTAACAAGCTCTTTCTGTGCCAATACTCCAATTCATTTCATTTTCATCAGTAGGTATTGCAACCAGTCACTTGCTATAGACGGGCAACTGAACAAACCCAGCCAGCAAAATCCACCTTTTTTGACTCAGATATCTTGATGAAATGGTGATTCTGTAAGAAACAGATAGAGTAAAAAGGTAATGGTCTTCAAGGTTTTCACAACAAGACCATCTTGTTTCAATGCAGTCCTTTTTTCATTCTGCAAATCATTTCCACTTTAAAACCATTTGCAGCAAATCTTGTACACAAAACTGGTAGCTAATACAACACATTTCTAGGAGGGGCCATTGACTTTCGTTTACCTTTTTTTTTTAAACAAGAAGCCCTAAACCTCTTATCCCAATGAGTGACTAGCATCCAATTTTTCCTCACTGAATCAAACTGCTAAGTCATTAGATTGTCGAAAGTTGAAGTTATTTAGTAGTCTGAACAAATCACCTAGAGGCTGAGGATTACTATGTTGAATCGCCCAGTATTTAAAAAAATTACTAATTATAAACTGGCTTTATAATTTATATTCTACATTGTAGTGTTACTACTTTCTTATGTTTAATGATTCAGTTGTATATACGAGTTTTAAATGGCTGTCTTTTTCTAGAAATGTTATTAATTTAAGTTTAAGCTTTATTTGTATTCTATCACCACTGCTGTACCTCTAATTTTCGCCCGCCTCGACTAGCTCCTGCTATTTGCCGGCGTGAACGGTCTTCATGAACTTGAAAGTGTAAATTAGATCAATAATAATTCGATTAATTAAATTAATTAGGTTAATTTGTAATTTGTAATTTGTCAGAGCAAGAATCCCGAAGGTTTGAGGATCCATTCCTCGTTGAGATTTAGAAATTTATTTTTGTACCATGCTTATGATAAGGTAGTTACCAGTTTCCCTCTTCCAACGAACAGCTCAAACGTTCCCATCTTTCGTATGTTCAGTATGATTTGATATTATTAATGAAGTAGTGGAACACGTTTGATATCGACTCGAGCGGTACAAAAGAACTCAGTATTTTCACAAAGTTTAGAATATTCTTACCCTAACTTATGTCCCACATCTTCTCCACGAGATTTTCACACTGCTTTCCCCAGCTATACTTCTCTTCATAGGCAGACCGTAACTGCTGAATCTCTTCAAGTCGCTGTGATCTTTTCTTCTGGCGGACGCCGGAAATTGCCTTTGCCCATACCTCGGGATCCTTAGATTTGACAACAACCTTTTCGCCTGACGGCACAGTGCACAGTGCTTCTCCAAATCCAGAATAACCACTGACAAGAATGGGAAGACCAGCTGACAAAGCCTCCAGGGCCGTTAAGCCAAAACCCTCTGCTCTTGATGGCATAATGCAAAGATCCACCTCACAAAACAGATCATCCAATTTCTCCTTGTTTTGCACAAACCTTCGCACAGTCAGCTGAGTATCAGGAATTCCACTCCGAAGCAAAAATTCCTTAACATACTCCTCTTTTCCGCCATGTGCACCCACAAAAATTAGGCGGTAAGAAGGGTCGCTGAGTTCAGCTATTGCCTTGGCAGCTATATCGTATCCTTTCAGCTTAAGGTCTTCTTGATCACCACGACCAAAGGTCAACACCCTAAAGTTTATATTGTCCACTGCAGCATGTTTTAAAGTCGAAAATTCGCTGAAGATGCCTGGAGTCAGTTCAATTATATCTTGCTGTCTTCCACATGAGCGAAGATAAGCCGAGAAGGTCTCCCCCAAAATCGGTCCAATTGCAACAACAGCATCTGCTAATTTACATAACTCTGCTTCGGTTGTTTTCTTCTCCTCACCCTTTTGAATGGCCATGGAATAATCTTTGTGCATTCCTAGATCCTCAGGTGAAGTGTGCACTACCTGAATCCACTTGCAACCGTGCGATTCTGTGATGAATTGGGCTTGTTTACCAAGCTTCTGACCGTGACCCACTACTATATCAATTGCCAGGTCTTTCGGTGGAGAGATCAGACAGTCAAGGGAGTTGAAACCTGGACGACTCTGTACTTCCCTGATGTTAACATTGTGACTTTTTGCGGCTCTTTTCTCTTCTTCAGAGCAGCTTGATGGAGGAACAAGGAAAGTGACTTCCATTTGCTTGTGACGTCCCAATTGAATGGCGAGGTGTCTGTTAATTGTGGACAATCCTCCCATTGATGAATTCCACTCACTTGCCAAAAGAGAAACCTTCAATATTGAGTGGGACCCTCTTGGATTAACTCGAGTTCCTCGTTCGCTTTGTGACCTGCCAGTAATATTTGAAGACGCCTGCAGGAAGAGCACCATATCTTTAGATGAAAAAGTATCTTACGGAACTTCCAAATGACTGAGAAAGAAAGACAGATGTAGACATACCGAGAGATGGATACATGTAAATGTACACTCCAAAAAGATGCCGTTTAAAGCTTTCTTTGCCTTAGCTTTGGAATACAACCTCAGAAGGTGTCGTGTCATCAATTCTCATATGACTCCATAACTGAGCGACTACTGTCGTAGCAAAAAAAAAGACAACCATGTACCAGATTCGGGGCGTGCTCAAAACTTTAATTAATTAGTGTGCTACTTAGCAATTTCAGTTTGTGTAGTATATCTGTACGATCTATTTGCGGTCAATCAAACCGAATGTCGATAACAGAGCAGTTTTCATGTAGCTAGGCTTAAAATATGTGGGTACTTGAGAAATCACTGCTATACCAACTTACAATCGTTTCTGGTTTCCTGGGTGAAGTTGTCCGTGGAAAGGACTGAGAGGAGAGAGACAAGTCCTTTAACAAAATGAAAACAATCTCCATTATATTTCGCTTAATTAAAGTTATTAATATCAATCTTTTAGCACAACCAAAAAACCCTTCCTTTAGTGGTGGAAGTTGCCATCATTAATTTTGCAGTTTTTTTGTCAAAAGATGTGTTCTAGGTTTATCCGATCTAAGCTCCAAAAGGTGACATAAATTCAACACTTGTTCATCGAGGAGGCAGACGTACGTCGTGTAAATAAATATAAAAAAATAGCCAGTCAACAGTTTCTCAGCTAATAAATTAAACAATGAACTGTGCAATGACTCAAGTCTGCGATTTTCACGAGTAACTTGAGTAAGATCTGTGCTCAGTGTCTTCTTGGTGAAAATTGTACCTGCCCTCCTTTATTTTTAAAGCAGGGAAAAATTGGGTGGAGACTGAAGATAAATTTCACGAGGGGATGAGGGACGGTTAAAAAATTCTCCTCTTCAACCGTCCACTCTAACTCTAAATCAAACATGGCCGACCTGATAAACGATGGCGGGCTTGTAACGCTAACGGCTAGGCACGTTAGGGATGCGTGAGAAAAACAACCAAACTTACAAATTACTTTTCTAAATATCTTTTCCACTAATTACGTAAGGTGGCGAACTTAGTCATGGATCATTCATAGTTTACAGTCATTGCTGTGCCTTTTTAATCACAAATTCAGAATTACTTATAAGTTCATGAGCAGTAAGGAAATACCTGCGTAGTCAATCTTGTTTGAATTATAGGAAAATTGCATATCGATTCACGGAGTCTCCTCTCTTCAGCGATCAGCCATTCCGAGAATTTTATTGACATGTTCCTTTCATCTTCGATAGTAACGTACACAGCTTTTTGGTCTTCTCCATCCCCGAAAAACCTGGCGTAAAATGAACAAAGGAAAGTCTCTTATCGTAGTACTTTGCTAGAAGCGCTATATAGTTTGGCCGCACTGACATGCAAAATGAAACCTAGATCACTTGAATCCGCATCAAGTGATAGTAACAATTATGAAGGTAACAAACTCTTACGTTAAGGAGAGGTCTTCACTGTTTTTTTCACCGAGCACCTTCAGTCCTTCCAAAAGAGACACAAACATTTGGTCCTCGTTAAATAGCGGTTTCTTCGAGTTTCCATCACCTTGATAAATCACATTGTAGCTTGAAATATACTCATACACTTTGGATTTCCAATTCAAAGGAAAACAGAATAATTTCAGCAAGAACCTCTCGCCATGAAGGCAAATGCAAGCTAAAAACCCAGCTCGTTGTCTCATGGATCTCCTGTCCAGATCAGAGACATCACCAGCGTTAACAACGGCAGGATTATCCGCTATCAAAGGCAAAAACCTGCGCGAAAACGGTAATGATTAATTATAATTTCATTTATAAAACGTTATAATCTGCATAGCTTCGATATCATACAGCATAATTTCTAGCTTTTAAGTTTATCTTTTATGATTTGAAAATCGGCATTACACCTCGCGAGAGACAAGTCCACACTCATTACGACTAGATTGATTGTCACATTCAAACGCCTCATACCATTAATAGCATTCAAAAGCATGCTTTGTCTGAGGGATTTCTCAGTTAATACACTTCGCAACTTTCGAGCTAAATATGCTTATCAAATGCAAATACACAGACTTTACTTACCGGCAGAAAGCTTTCACTTCGAAAGTCACCATTCCATCTGTAAGGGAGACGGACATCTCCAACTGATCTGTGATGTCTTCCCATTCCTGCTGAAAGTGAAATACCCTCCACTGACCGGAGTGCACCAATTCTCTTTTCCCCTTGAAAAATTCAAGAGATAGTGTTATTTTCGCTGGCGCCAAAAGATTCACTTCATGCGAGCACGATATGTGGAGAATCGGACCAACTAACATTTCCTCACTTTTATGGTCAATGCTTGGCGGTTCTTGAATCTGACAACAAAAGCGAAAATAAAAAAGAATTATGTACATTTACCCTTATGACAGTTCAAAAAATACTTTTCGCACGTTCGATACTAAATTAAGACGAACCGCGCACTTTTTGTTGATAAAGTGTTGCTCATCACCTAGAAGTTGAGAAACGTCGATAAACTACGGTATGTTTTATTGGAAAGCGTTATTTTCAAGAATCAGTTCCTTTTGGCAAAATGTGCAATTAACGTTCATCATACCCAGCACACAACACAGAAAGCAAACGCGATGCATGTGCAAATTGTTCACTTTTGGCCAATCGCGTGCTAATTCCTGGCGCAAAAAGTAAGAAACGACCGCGGTCACGCAATTTATGGGCGAAAACACTGGAGTGTCCATAGAAATTTGTAAATGAAACAAAAGTAGGGAAAAGAAGAAACTCGAGACTTTACGAACACGAGGTTTATTTGGTCATACACTGTGACTTACTGACTTGTGCGGTTGTTTGTAACCCCTATGATACAAATTGATTGTGACTTCCTAAAAGCACGCCACTTAACCATCATGCCTAGCCAGCCGTAGCCAGCCTCAGCCATGACAACATTTGCACATGCGCAGACGTTTGACCACTGTGTTCCAGTGCGCAGTCTACAACAGGTCTTGCGTTGCCGCTAACACATCAAAAATTTTAACAAGTCAATAGGACAGAGCTGAATAATGAAATGCTATGTCAGTGGGTTGCGGTACACAACGCGGGCTCAATTTTCCTAGGTCTAAAATTTAGCGAAATTAGCGGAAAATAATAAGGGCTGACTTTAAAACCAAGGAACTCTTGTTTTCGTCGAAGGCATTTTCATATTTCCAGAGGTTTAGAGGAAAAAATTAATTTTTGAAAATTTTTAGGGGATGTACCAAGTTTTTGGAGGTTGTACTGTGAAAGAGAAGCGGCAAGGAAAACAACACCTTGAAGCAACAGAATAGGAAATCATTCATGCGAGCGACTCAAAATCCGTGTTTCCGCGGCAAAATCTAGCGCATGCGTGTACGATATTCAGTTCTGTCAGTCGTTAGTGGTTTAGCGTCGTCTGTGTTCTTATCCACAACGAAAGCCGAGTGAGACCTTAATATCGACGTCAAATAAAACGATTCTGTCAGCGCGTAACCAAAATCGTGACACGTTGACGCAAGCTCTGATATCTGTACTCTAATGGCCCATCAGATTGCGACATTATTGTCAACTGTGTTAAAAAATGGTTTACTTACCTTCAGAGTCAAGCAGAAGTCTTGACTGTAAGGGACAGAGTTCCAAGGGATTACAATGCTGACATTTGGATAGTTTGGCACTGAACAGATGAACTCAGGGGTCATGGAGTTTGGCTTTGGAAACCTAAAAGACTTAAGGCGCCAAATCACGGCGAAAGAGGAAAAACGGGTTATTGTGGAGGTAGCTTCAGCGTAAGGGCACATCCACTTGGAAATGGCTGGCCGCATCTCTGCAAGGTGGAGATTTTTTATAGAGCATAAGTGCATGTAGTAGACCTAACCATTTCTACTGGAATCCCCTTTAAGTTACCGGTGGTTACCGAGGGAATTCTTAAATAAACACTTGGAACTCCATCCCTGTGCGAAAGAAGACCAGGAAATATTAAGGGTAAGGTTATCTGAAGTGGCTTATCACTCTTACAACTTTCAACCAATAGATTTTTAAGTTATTGTGTAAGTTTTGAAGAATCTTTTAAAGTGCTTTAAGATCCCTACTCCCTGACTGAACTTTCAAGAGCTTAGTAAATAGATCAGATTATTGAGGAAAATGCTTAAGATCTGGCTAGGATTCTGTGAAGGTTACCAAAATGTCCAGTCTGAGAACATAAAAAGTACTAGTGTTAAGAAACTGCTTCAAAGTAATTCACCCTAGAGTAAACAAGATTTCATATTATTTCAATACCTGCTGTATCCCAAAAGATTCTAGTTTCCAAATCATACCACTCGTTGTTTTCTGGGTCAAGCAGTTTCTTAATAACCACTTCATATCCCTTGAAATCAGAGGAACTGTGCAACAAACCCACTGTTATGCCTTCTGTAGCATCTTCCATAGAATCCAGCGTTGGTGGGCCATCATGAGATAGTTCAATCACACTGGACACTAAGAGCTCATTACTGTGTATGGGAGGAGAGAGGAATCTAGGATTCCATATGGAACAACAGATCCACAAGGGTTCTTTCATGATTCCTGGGCAAAAAGTGATAAATGCACCTGCTTCTGGAAGATTCCATGTGTCTCCCTTGTCTGTTATTCTTTCTCTGTGGAGCACGTAGACATTTAGGGCATTAGTCTTTACTGTTCCTTGTTCCCAGCCCCACCTTTCTGCACTCACTCCTTTTGAAAGGTTCATAAGAGCCCAGAAGACAAGAAAAATCCCACAGAAAAATCATGGCAGAAAAATAAATTACCTCCTGATCACAGTCTTTTTGGCATCTGCAGGGTTTGTCTTAGTATCTTCTTTATCTAATATCTCCACTTCAATTTCTTCCTCCTCCTCTTCTCCAACTTTTGATTTGGCATCAGGCAATTTGTCCCCCTCAGAGGCTAAAAGTGTTTCTTTTCGTCAAAAAAAAAAAAGCGTTAACAAAAGCCTTAACAAAAGCCTTAACGGTTTTAACATCTTTGATAGGAATGCGGCTTCTGTGACGCTCAAATGCCGTTTCCTACTCAATTTGGTAAAAGCTTACAAGCAATAATACCAGCATTCACGGTCTTCGCGTAAGGCAGACGATCGAGTTAAGTATCAAAGGTCATATAACTGATATGTGAAAAAATGACCTTGATGTGGATGCCACATGCGGTAATTATTTACGAAATAGGACACTCTGGCGTACTCCTACTGAAATGTAATGTAAAATGGACTTTCTATAACAAAATAGATCAACTGTCCTTATTTTGCATCCGGTATTTAAGATGTTTAGGGCGATCCGGGCTTTTGTCAGTTGTCAGTAAAAGCCCACCACAAAGGTCGGTTGTCAGTTAGTTTTTCAGCGATTTGACAGTTGTCAGTTAAAATTTTGGCCATTTGTCAGTTGTCAGTTAACCCCATCCAGACCCTCCTACTTTAAACCACGTCTATTTACACGATTAAGAAGAAACTAGAACTGTCCAGTAGAGCAGGTAAAACTTGACATTGGACGTTCATTATGATACTACTAACATAACCATCATTCTGATGTTCAGTTCTTGTAGTCAATTCTGATGCAGTTAATAACTGCATGCTCTGTAACTGATCAAGAGCATAGCCCGGCATAACAGACTTAAAGATAATAGTGACAAAGAAAAAATGTCCCACAATTACCCAACGTTTTTATTAAGACGATTGCTAAAGCGGAGACCCCACGCATAAGCAACTGATTCGTTAAAGGAGTACCGCCCTATTCCACTTGAACACGCAAAAAACTGAATTTAAGAGAATTCAAGAGTCCTCTATGTGGGACACAATTTATGGCGATTCATTACTTTGTCCCTCGGGTTCCGCTAGTCGCCTCTTCACATCTTCCAATTCCTTTCTGGTACTGTAGGACGCAAGGAAAATAAAACAAATTAACCGAAAATTCGGGAAACTATCAAGCTAGAGGAGTTGGAGGAAGATTTCTTTAAAAACGGAATGAGTTCAAGGTGAAAAGGTACAAGTGGTTTGTCTTTGTTTAGCTTCGAGACACGACAAGACTTTGATTTCACTGAGTATGATCAAGTTTTTAAATTAAGTGGGTAGTTACTGTTTAGGAACATAACTTTTACCACACCCAGGAAGTGTGGAATGAACAGAAAGGAAAGTTGCGCTAGGTGGGGAGTCACATGGCGGACGTGTTTAATTCTCTAGAGCTTTCAAATTTAAAGCACTCTTACAAAACGGCAAAGCATCCCCGACAGCAAAGTTGTTTACCTTGTAAGGTCGTCGTCGTTCTCATCCAACATTCTCTTTTGCATGGCCTCGCACCTTTCAAGGTAATTCCTGGCTTGCTTGAATTCTTCCTTCATTTTATGAATCATTCCAAGGTCAAAAAGCGACTTGGCGGTGTCACGATGGTTTCTCAGTTGCTTTTGCCGGATTTCCAACGCTTCTCTCGAACATCGTTCAGCATCGTTGTATTTGCCCAAGGCGCAATAATTGCTTGACAGACTGTTGAGGATGGTTGCGGTGAACGGATGCTCTCCCAGTTTTTCCATGTAAATTTGCAGGGTCTGCTTTCGGACCTCTATTGCCAGCTGATGATCTTCTTCCAGTGAAAGGATTACTGAAAAAGGCGAATCACAGTTTTATTACTGTATTTGTCGAGCATGCTCAACATTCAAGTGATGATAAAGATACAATAATTCAACTTAGGCCCTTTCCGGATGCTATGAAGATAATCAAGACAGGATGCAGGATTGATCATAGATCTTTTAAATAAAGTATAGCCTTGAAGCGCCTAAATCTCGGCTTCAAAGTTGTATACATAAGAATTCATGTAAAGGATTTACTTCATCTGGTAGTTGATTACAAACAAGAGGATTACAGTTAATGATTTGTCTCGAAGTGTACCCTCTCCCTCAGTGTTCTAAACATCTTGTCGAAGACTAGAGTATTTTACGAACGCTTTTCAGTTAAAGCTTGATCATGAATGAAGGAATTTCTGAGTCATAACGAAAGATTCGGATGCTGCACTTACCTGCCTTATCATTGTACGTTGCACCAAGCATGACTTTGTCATCCTCTCCTTGATCCAATCGAATTTTGATCGCCTGTCGGACTTTTTTTTTCGCCTCATCGAAGTTGTATTCTATGGCGAGACATCGAGCAAGTTTGGAAAGACACTGAGCTCGGCTGTTACCGGTGTTAATTCTAAGATTACACTGGATTTGGTCAGCTTCCGTCAAATATGCTTTGGCTATTTGAGCGGCTACAGCGCGCAGACCAGTTGGATGACGGGAACCTCTGAATGCTTCTTCGATCCCCAAGGATGTGAGGCAATCGCTCAGTCTTTTCTGATCTGCCATCTGTTCGCATCTTCTCTGTAAAGATTCAAAGGTATATTTAAATTTATCCTTTCCCATCATCTTTGCCAGAAGCTCTGCCACATTGTTGAAGACATCAATGCATCTTTTTCTTTGTTGCTCGTCCATTTGACTATTGCTACACCATTCAACGAGCTGCAAGACATTCCCTTCATCCATCTGAAAAGCAGCAAGTGCTTCTGACACGTTCTGGCTCAAGAACTTTTTGAAGGTGTCTTCCAGAAAGGTTAAAAAATGGCGGATAAACATCCTTCGAGCATCTAGGATCACTTCACGAAACTCCCGCTCCATTGCCTTAGTTTCACAATAATCACGGATTACTTCAAGGAGGGTATAGAAGTAACCATCTCCGATGATATGTTCTTCTAAAAGTGATCGCCGGGACAGTTCCAATCCACATTTTCTGAGCTCAGACGCACTCATCTTCGTTGATTGAAACACGTTCACCGCTTCAGATAGACAAAAACGCCTTCTGAATAGTGCAAAGCTAATAAGGGCACACTTTTCTTTCAAATCAAGCCTCCCAAAGCAATGATCGATGCAAACCTTGATCTTTTTATCCGCTTGTACTGTTTGAATAATCTTTTCTAAAAATTCGAATTCTTCATGAGCCGAAGAATTCATGTCTTCCAAGAGACTAAGCAGGTTACTGTGGGAGGAGGCCAGGGTGAAAAGGACCAGGGGTATACCGCTGCAAATTTCTGACAAGTCATGCGCTTGAATTGTGTTGATCTGCCTATCCTTCCACACTTTTTTCAAAAGCTCAACGGATTCTTCTGGCCGAAAAGACGACAGACGAAGCGTTTCTTGACCTGCTTCCGGAAAAGGTACTTTCTCTGAAGAGGTGAGGAGAAGCTTGACTTTTCCTGCAACCATTAAAATTTCATTGATTAGATTCTTTATCTTCCATCCTTCCTCAGATGGGTTCATCTGCTGGCGTGACAGTTCATTTCCAGTGGGCTGCGTTCCGTCATCCAAATGAAGCAGAAACTCAAAATTATCCAGGAACAAAATAGTGGAGAAATCTTGGCTTTTCAAACGATTTTTCAGCTCAGCTACTGGATCATCCACAGGATAGTGATATATTTGCTGAAGAACTTTCGCCGCAAAATCATGGAATAGTTTAATGTCTCTACAGTTAACGTAGATCACCACCGTTTGTCTGTCAGAATTCAGTATGTCGTTTGCCACTTTCATCGCCACGGTTGTCTTCCCCATGCCAGTGGCACCATGTATGAGAAGACATCTGCAATTGTGCTTTGGAGAAAGGTAATCTTTAATTTCTTGGCATTCTTTTTCGCGATTGACGAAATGTGGTACCGTATGGGGGAGAAGAGACCAATTTCTACGGATTCCTGCAAATCAATGCAAAAGGAGAAAATACCTGCTGAGATAAACGTTTCCTCAATTGGTTTTTGGTGAATCACCTGAAACCAGAAACCATAGGAGAAATTACGTAATCAAATAAAGCAACAGCTACTCAACCTGTCTTCTTATTCTTATCACTGTCTTTGTCGAGCATGCTCAACACTCAAGTGATACAAAGATACAATAATTCCAAAGATACAATAATTACAGCAGTCCATTCCAGCAGCTATGAAGATAATCAACACAGGCTGCAAGATCGATCATAGATGTTTTAAATAAAGTATTTCGAAATAGTATTGAAGCGCCTAAATCTCTTCAGAGTGTTGCTCTCTGCGTTCATCTGTATGACTGATAGAAAAAGAGCAAAAATATATTAACCTGCATTTGAACTCAAAAAGAGAACTATTGGTGTTTTGCAAATTTTTCTTTTACGAAAAATTGCTTTAAAAAACAAATGTGTAGAATTAGAGTAAACAAGGTTCTTCGGGGGAAATGGCAACATTGTATTGACATTAAAGGAAACTGTGATAAGGTTTCCTATTTTTATCTGATGGGGACTTAATGTTGCTCTGACTGACCTACGAACACGGGTCGTTGAGACCTCAGTTCCTCCTTTACCTTAGTTGGCACATTAGAAAAACATTATATATCCTCATTATTTCATAGCACATACCCAAGAAAATGATTGACTTCCTCTTCCTGACTCAAAATTATTCTTAACTGACCTTCGGACACTGATCGTTGAGACCTTTGCCATGTTAGCTCTTCATGTAAAGTATTCAACTTTTCTTCCACCTTCTCCAGTACATTTTTAACATCCATGTCTTGCTTATACCAGGTCTCTAGCTCTTCAATGCATCTTTCCTCATCTGGCGTCAAAGGATTATTTTCACTCATGTCTCTTTGCAGGACTTATATTTGTCGCAATTCTTAACAGAGGCTCACTAATTTTCCCCCAGAGATGAACAAAGTCGATGTCAGATATTTCCATAGTGTGAGGGTGACCGTAGATCATATTTCGATAATATTTTATTCGTACTAAATCTGCCACCAGAGTGTGGTCTGTGCTGTTTGGTAAATCATCCCATCCTCTCGGTCCAGGGGGAGGGGTCAGGTTGCAAATTGTCCTGAATAACTTGAAGATCAATGTGATGTCAAAATCAGACGACTTGCCATACACCCCTGGGGATGGGTACAGACAATTCCTCTCTGGTTGGGTGAGTCTTGCTCCTTTCAGCTGTGCCTGTATGGTAGGATCAGCGAGTTTCACAGGGAGATCAGCTGGTGAGTGAATGGAGTCGAAAGTCTCCCGTAGAAGCCGCACACCGCCACGCATAAGTAATCGTGTCAGTCGATTAAAATTTGCTTTGGCAGTTGTTGATCGTAGGGCGTCTTCTGCGTCGTCAATGGAGGCCATAGTATAAATTTTAGTCCTAAAATTGGAAATCTTCATGACATGCCAGTTGATAAATGAAGAACAACCTTAAACAATTTGATAACCTTAAAATCAGCTACAAGAGTTCATGGTGCTGACTCATGCAACTTTAAAAGGGTGCCATTGGGCTTAACTGCCTGAGAGAAGCGTGTGCAGAACTTGACGAAAAGCAGCAAATGCTAACTGTCTTAAAGAGACTAACTGGGTACTAAGTTGCTGCTGACCAACCCACTTGACCGACTGAAGGAAGAATACTTGACAAGCTTGTAAATTACTTTTCTCAATGGTTCGTGATTAACAAGCTTCTCTCCTTTTTTTCAACTCCCCGGGAACTATGAATCTTGAAATGCGGCAACACTTGATATTTATATATGTNAATGCTAACCGTTTATGTGGTGTGGAATGCTAACCGTTTATGTGGTGTGGAATGCTAACCGTTTATGTGGTGTGGAATGCTAACCGTTTATGTGGTGTGGAATGCTAACCGTTTATGTGGTGTGGAATGCTAACCGTTTATGTGGTGTGGAATGCTAACCGTTTATGTGGTGTGGAATGCTAACCGTTTATGTGGTGTGGAATGCTAACCGTTTATGTGGTGTGGAATGCTAACCGTTTATGTGGTGTGGACAGGTCCGTACACGCTAACCGGCATATTAGTTTCCCTTCGATGATCATCTCTTAAAATGCCGAATGTTAACTCGATTTAAACGACAAGCAGCTACATCGTGACACAGAAGTCGTCCAAAGACTTCACCCTATTCGGCTATTCGACATCCAAGTGTAATATCCACAGATTTTGAGCGAATGCGGAAATAATAATTAATCTTTGATGTCGCAACAGATATTGCCATTTCTAATAACTTTGAAGTTCCTTTACACCCGACTAGAACTAGTTTAGTTGGCTCATTAAAATATTTTTGACATTAACCCCAGACGGTTCGGGTTATCTCACTCTTAAGGCAAATACAAGTTACGATTGTGTTGGAAATTCGCTGAGTCGAACAGAGGCACACCGACCATTTAGATCCCAAACGCACCCGGTAATACCTGTCGGAAACCTTATGTTCCCTTCACAGTGAAATCTCATCTTACCTTGTTTTCAATGAACCCAGCTATGTAGCGCTGACAGAGAGGTTGAAAATACGATGCAGATTGTTTGTAAATACATCGCTCTAATACGCAATACACTCCAGATTATGAACAGTCCTTTCTTTCACGTTCAATATGTTTACAGATCCTACAGATCCGATTGGTAGAGTTATCATGGCGTATCGATCTCTTCATTCAATTACTACTGGTTAGACCTCTCCGGTCTACTGAACCCAGAAATGAACTGAGGCTTCTTGCATCATGCTTACGGCTCAAACTATTTCATTCTAGGCGTTCTGAGTTTGGTTCGTTCGTCGTGTTTTTAGTATATTTTCTTATACCCACGTTTTACAGACATATATACTTTATTCGTCCCAAATAGGCTTTTCAGAATAAAGAAATAATTAAAACTATAAAGTAATAAATTAATGAGCTAATTAACTAGTAAATAGATAACATAATCAAATTAACTAATTTAATTAAAAAATAGTGATTAAGGGCCTGTTTACATGCCGGCTAGAAGGGTTGAAACATAGCCCGCCTTTACATGCAACTCACCTAATCGAGACAGTGAGTGGGCTGCGTGGGCAATCTTTTGAGCGGTCGCTAAGCAAAACAAACAAAATGGCCCATATCTCGATTAGTAGTTCAAAATTATCTTGAACAAGTTTGCTACTTCCACTCCTTGTTCCTCTGTTTAAAGCAGCACGATAATCTTATCTCAAACTTTTTATTTTTTCTCTGATCCTCTCATCTCCTTTCCTTACTCTGGCCTTTTCCTCGTCCATCCTTTTCTTCAACGCGTTATATTCTTCGGTGTCCATGTCTTTCACATCTGCTCCTGGTAAGCTTACCACTTCTGGCCCAAAATCTTCCGGGTTGTCGATCGCCATACACCGGCGTACTTCCGTGTTTAAGCTTTAGAGTAGACATCTATATTTATACAGGATAGCCCCTTCAGTGTAGTAAACCCGGGTAGGCGGGCTACCCAGTCTAGCATGTAAACGCTTCAAGCGTTTTCCAAAGAAACGTATGAGGAGTTAGCGCGCCCAGGGTAGCTCGGTTAGCCGGGTAGCTCGGTTAGCCGGGGCACCCTTCCTCCAGGTAAACAGGCCCTAAGTCTCTAAAAATTTTGAGGTAAGGCTTCTCTTCAGGCAACGTTAGAAGTCCTTTAGTGCCAGTTTCAACTTAGGAATACAGTCCAATGAGTTCCAGAGTTTGACTGTCCTGAAGTAGAAAGTTCTTTGTCCTGTGGGGGTTTTATACAAAGGCATTTTTAAGTCGAGGTGTTTCTAGATAATGACACTGGATTGGCTTTAATGTTTCATTTTCACGTACCAAATACAAAATAAAGGCTTTATGTCAAGGATTTGGACTGTTTATAGCATGAATTATGCTCAAAACTCCATTTTGCTTGGCCTTACAGGGGCATGGAGAGTTTGTGCCAAAAACCTAACAAACCTTAATAAGCCAAATTTTTCTCATCTGATTTTGATAAATGGGTCACTAAAGTACATACTGGATTTGGTATAAAAGTTATGCAAGAAGGCGGGTGAGTGTTATTGTTTTTGAAAAATGGCAATTTTGGGTGATGATTTTGGCCTCAAATTTGACCTAACTTTAGCCCTAGGCCCCTCTCTGTCTAATCACTTGAGAACAAAATTACACTTATGAAGTAAAAGCTCCGCTATTTTTGACTATTAGGTTTAGTTTTGATGCTATATAGCATGCCATTAGACCAGCCTTGGTCGGGAGGTTTTGAGTTAAGAGAGAATTACACACGCACACACACACACACACACACACACACACACACACACACACACAAAAGGAGGCCGAGCTCTTCTTCATTTCTTGTGGGTACACATTTAATAGCTATCACGTGGCACATTTTAGTCGTAAAAATAATTGTTGCAGTCAGTGATGAAACTCACCATATGATAAATGATTATTCGCCTCTAAAAAAACCTACTTTTCAAACCTGAGAAAACTGTAAGATTCGATCGTTGCGGTTCAAAATGTCTCCTATCGAGAAGCTAAGCTCTGCATGGTGGCTCTTTTATTTCGTCTGAGCTTTTCTCCCACAATGAAATACCAACCTACCTACAAAGTTACGAAATATCTTGTTCATCCTGAAAGATCCATCAGAAGCATTGTCACAATTTCAATTTGTTTCAATAACGATTCGCTCTGGTTGAGAATTGCCCCGAGGAGAAATGAAATTTGACCAAGTTTTGTCATCGAGACCCATCGTGACATCAGGTAGGTCGCTTTAAAAGGAATCGGTATTTTTCTTAAGAATTTTGCGAATGGCTGGAGGTCCCTACCGTCGGCGCTAGAGCTCGACTTCAGCTAACACGTGGACGACGTTGCGTTTTGAAAAGAGTTCATGTTCTTAAACAACGCAAATGTTGGTGACTATATGGTGCGGCTGAGAAGTGTACAAAGTCTCGAATGCACGTTCTGAGCCTTTGCTTTGCTCGTGTTTGTCGTGTTCTTCATCCTATTGAGTTTTAACCAGAAACATAGCTAATTCATTGTCGGTTTTCCTGTTCACAGACCACGCAGATTTTGGCGACTTTGTATCTTGATAATTTGCCGAGAGGCGCTGGAATGAGCAAAGTCTTAAAAGCGCGTGGGCGTGCAATGCTTCTTCTCCGCTCGTGAAACTTTTTTTTTTTTTTTCTCGCGTTTTTGTGACCATCGTCGTCATGGTTTGCTAAAGGTCGCACTGTAACCACAACTGCCCTATTAACTTACGTCCTTCAGGAAATTCATTATACAGCATACTTTCAAGTGGCTATCAAACTCTCGTATTGTTTTCAACCCGTATTTGATCGAAAGTCAGGTCTTTCAAGCTAGAAACAGAATGCCATGAGATTGATAAAAAAATATCAGAAGAACAAGCTAACTGTACTTTCCGAAGCTCCGTCCTAACTAAATGATCAGCTTTTTTTTTCGCGGAATCTCAGAACTATCTTAGTTAAACCGGATTAATGAGTAGAAATGACTCTATCATTAATCGACAGTAGATATGTTCTAATGCCTCAAAAGTTCTTACAACAAGCGTAAATGAAATTTGATGGTAACAAACTGACTGTTCAACTGCACAGGCCAAATGGAATGTTAAAACTGTTTACGCGTTGTGGACAAGTCCGTGTACGACAACACACTAATATGCAGGCAGCATGTTAGTTACACTTTCATTATCATCTCTCAAAATGCCGAATATTAACTCGTTTTAAACTAAAAGCAGTTACATAGTGACACAGAAATCTTCCAAAGCCNCCATTTCTTGATGTTATAGAAAGGTAGCATATTCTTCTCAATTATTTTAAGACCCTGAGTGTTGGTCCGGCCAGGGCTCGAGCCCTTGACCTCCCTCACAATAGTCCAGCGCTCTACCCATTGAGCTAACCGGGAGGCGGTTAAAAGAAACAATAACCAACTTAAGAAATTCTTGATTGTTGTAGAAATTCTTCAACTCAGTACTGCGGGAAATGTATGTACATAGAGAACACCATAGAAAATGCGCAGATTAATTTCAAGGCATAAAGGATAACTCCTTCAATTTTGTATTTCAGCAAAGACACATCACTTTTCCTAACTGGTGAGCTAAAAGACCCAGCAGAGTTTCACTTGTTGAGAGGGGAAGATAATGTTTCTAGGATGTCCACTTCTTTTTCAAAAAAGTTATACAGTAAAATTGTGTCACTAAAAATCTGCCTACTGGCCTCGGTCACTCAGTACTGCCCTTGGATAGGATACTTGTACATCACTGATTATCCCCAGTACCGACAGCATATTATTTGCGTTTCTGATATAATAAAGTTCACAAAGCAACCGGGTGGATGATCAGACAAAGTTTGATGTTACTCTGGCTTAAGGATTTAATGAATGTAACCGGGGAATTGCATTTCATCGACCCAACCTTTAAAAGAGCATCAAAAAGCTGTCTTCTTTTGCAAAATTCAGCTTTGTCAAAGCACACATGCCTAACTAACCATTCAATTGGGATAATTCTAAAATTGTTATCACTAATTGGTGTTATCACTAGCACCTTTGTTTGGAAACCTGGGATATAAACTCTGCCCACACTCCTTTGAATCATGAAGATGGTGGCTCACTACCTGACGCCAATTTACACCTTGTGAGCATATAAAAGGACCTCTTGTTGCAACAATTAGATCACCCCTGATGAAGTAACTAGATAGGAGTGTGGAAAAATTGGATCAATGAACTGTAATTCCCCAGTTACATTCATTAAATCCTTATACCAAAGTACCAGCAAACTATGTCTTATTCACATTACTGCTTAGAACTTAATACTGCCTCCACATGCCAGACTGAAGGCGAGGTTTGTTGCTGTTTTGGGAGGTTAAATCATGATGCTATTTGCAAAACCTTTACAAAAAATCCACGTTTATTTTGCAAATAATAATCTCCCAAGCATTACTGTTCTGTGTGTCTGAGAACTGTACGAAAAACACTGACCCCAGTAAAAAGACAACTCACTTAGATAACCCTCTACAACTCCTTCTACAAATTTTACTGAACTTACCATTAAGACTTTGAGATTAGCTCTTTCTGAAGGATTCTTAACAAGACTGAAACAGAATATAATAGATTACTGTGAGGTTTAGATGTTTGCTGGAATGTCCTGATCTCTAGTGCATCTCGGTATAACACAACTAACTTCCCTAAACATTTAGGTCTAAGTTTGGCTATAAATATCTTTCACAAAAATCATAAGGAAGAGAATAGGAAGCATTTGCCTACCATTTGTTCACAAACTCACAAAACTCCGCTGAAAATTGCTCTGGTGGAAGTTTGGGAGGAGGCTATCCAATAAAGAACAAAAATGTATAACTTCAGCGACAACAATATATACACACCACAGAAATGTGCAGCTATACAGTCAAATAATTTTAAACAACCTGCCCCTGATTACTAAAAGTTAGAGTAACATACTGGTTGATCAGCTAAATCTCCTAAAAGCAGGGGTTGGGATAACCTAGGATTAATGAGAAATTTGATTTCAGATCTGAAAGCTTCAAAAGAAAATTCAGTATAATTGTTTTTGTCTACAATTTGATAAGATTCTCTAAAAAGAATAGCGAAGATTATCCCCAAAAAGCTCTTGAATAGATAAATAAAGAAACCTGGATTAAAATTTAACCCTGGGTTACTACTAATCAGCCTTTGAACAACTGGGCCCAGGAACAGTGGAGGAGAGAAAAACAACTGAACTTTCTTACTCCATTTACACCAATTTTATGTACATCTACTAGCTAACTCTCAAGATTAAGCCCTTAAAAATTGATCCATATGACTTTTAGCAGTTTACTGTTAAGACTGTTCACATCACCTCATTCACAATATAGTCCAGTAATTCAAATATCGCCATTGGTCTTGCATCATTGTTCACACCACTTGGTGGCCTTGTTCCTGGAGGTAACCTCATGAGGTGCGATGGACTTGTGCTTTTTTGGTTTTCTTCAGGTGGTGGAATTGGATATCTTCCAATTGCCATTTCAATCAGTGACAATCCAAAACTCCAAATGTCAGATTGAATCGTGTAATTAGCTCCTTGAAGTCTCTCAGGCTGAGAATTGAAAATTCCAANGCTGTCTACATTTCTATGATTTCAGCTATTAGAGGTAGCAGTTGTAATTGTTCAGGGCCGGGTTGTTCAAAGCTGGGTTAAGTTAACCCAGGGTTAGCGTGAAATTTGATTTCAGATCTGAAAGCTTTAGGAGAAAGTTCAGTTTAATTATTTTGTGTCTACAATTTGATGATCAGATGCTCTAAAAAGAACAGGGGAAATTATCTCATAAAGGTTCTTGAATAGAGAAATAAGGAAACCTGAATCAAAATTTAACCCTGGGTTAGTGCTAATCGGCCTTCGAACAACTGGACCCAGGGGTTTTATCTTGGGCAGTTTTTGCCATGTACTTGTACAAACGGTAATTAAAATTAATTTGTTTAATCATTTGTCTCATGACTTTGGGTCTATCAATTACAAAGGAAAAGCCATCAATTAAGGAATGCAATATTTCAACTGCTTTGATTCTTATCTTTGTCAAGAAATGGGAGTGAATGGTTACCCATTTCAATCTAAGTGGCAAAAGCAACAAACAATCGTGCTTGCAAATAGTAACGCGTAATCATTCGACCTCATCCCTGAAAAAAACTAGCAATATAGCAGTAAAACTACCCCCCTCTTTAATTAACAGCTTGACCTACAATTGTACTGAGAACTCAGAGACAAACAATCAAATGTTTGTTAATCACTTATCATGATAACCATGGTGAAAAACACATGATTTGCATTGTTACATTGATGTATACTGTAGCACTCATTGATAGAAGGAGGTTCCCTTCTGGATGGAACACTCAGTTCAGTACCACAAACTATTTACCATGGTTATAATACATACCTCTATGTATAATATTGTGGTTATCTCTAAGGTAGCTTAAACCTTTTAAAACCTGTAAGAGAACAATTTTCATACAACTGACAATTGGGCAAGAAACGTTTTGCAACCCACTAATTGATCTCTTGAGGCCTTGTATCTACACAAAGTCTTCTTTAGACAGAAGTTAAGTCCTAGACAAGTAAACTACATAGAGAAACATGTCTAACTCTTCCAGAGAAACAAAGATTTCAGGTTGAGTGTTCAGTTTTCTTTGTGCTCTTGCCCACAATACACTGTCCAAGTTAACACACATTTCAATCCGATTAAAGCTGGATTTTACATTTATTTCAGCCTTCATGGCTTTAGCACAATTTTGGAAATTAAACTCACCTTTCTAAAAATTCAAGTTTTTTTTATCCTCGAGGTACTACTACCTGCTTTAATCCTAGACTACAAATGACTGATTGTCTTATTATCTGCTATACATACTATCAACTTGTTCTTACAGCAATTGTGATAACTCCCAAAATATCCTCTGGTACTCGATCAGCTTTTTTCAAAATTTGGTCCAGGGAGCCACCATCCTGAATATAAGATCAACAAGATAATTATTTCACCTCAGTCACACTTTCACTCCCTAGAGAGGAATATCAATTCTAAGCTCTGTCTGTCACACATTTCTTAGAAGCAAAGACAATATTGTGCTGAACAAGGGCTTGTCTGTATGATATTTCAGGGTTTGACTGTGTTCATATTCATTTTCATTTGATCAGTTTAAGAGCAGCTTAAGCCTTGATTTTTATTGAAGAAAATTCCTTTAATGACTTTAAATAACTTCCAAAGGTTTTTTTTTTTTCTTCTTTTTTTGCATAGGCACCCTAAAAAAATTGCAGACATTGTTCCCACACACAAACACAAAAAAATTAACGCAATGGTTACCAGCTGTATCTCATTTACAGAAGATAGTCCACACCTTGACACCAATAAACAAACAACAACAAATGTGTGCTTGTTGAGATGACATCCCCTTTTTACTTATGTTACATAACAAGTAAGCATCTAACCTGGGTATCATAAGGAACACAGACAACCAAAACATTTAAAAGGGATCAGATTCACTGCCTAGTCTCTCAGAATCATGACATGCACTTTACATCAGCACAGGTAATTTTCAACTGTTCAATTCACCAATCAGAAAAATGTACACCTAAAGTGTGTAATTTAGATAGGAACACTAAACAGGATTTAAATATGCAAATCAGTCTGTTTGCAGGTGTGAGGATAGGACAGCTAAATGCAAACTTTTCCTGCCCAGAAAACACAACTGTGCAATGCTTGATCATGTCAGAGATAAAATTTTGGAGTGACAAGATACTATCATTTGCAAAAAGGACAATTCTAGCCGTTGGAAAAATTTGGTTTGAGCTAGCCAAACCCAACTTAATAATTCAATAAATAGAGAAATAACCATGTTTGCAGGGTCACGTTCCAGCGAGGGCAGTTCTTGAAGTTCCAAACTGAATTCTGCTACTTTGCCAGATGCATAACCTCAGGAAATTAAATGCTACTGAAGTAGCGATTTATCTCCAAAAATATAAAAGATAAAAAAAAACAAGTCGCTTTAATTGCTTTTTTGAGTGGCCCAGGCGATAACTCTAATCTTATTTGCATTTTGCAGAACAGCGCAACATAAATACAAGCTCGATTGAAAAGCCGCCATCAACTGTGAGCTTGAGTGCCTTTAATTCTTAACTGACGGATCTCGAGACGAAAAGTAAACGTATCTATACGTAGAAGGTCCTACTAAACGCATCTAGCCGCACGTTCCTCAATTTAACTTTGATAACTTTACCTATTCACAAATGGTACAGACGAGCGCTCAACAGCTAGCCCATTTGAACCGCTAGCTGAAAACCTCGCGAGCTGTTGCAAAAACTGCCCGCGTTCTACGTGGGGCAAACGACCGGTGAATTATTTATACATCAGTCCCCATTCTGAGAAGGCAATTCGGCTTTTACATAATTTCAACTCGACGAATATGTTGCTAGTTCATGCGTAGCTTTTCAATGTTTTCCTAGGGGGAAGTACACAATAAACAACAATGATCATTACATTCGCGAATGCACGAATCTTTGAACGTACCATGTGTTCCATACAAATAGAGATTTCTCCATCACTGTAAAAGGCCCCATAAAATCCAACGATGTAGGGTGAGTTGCAATCGTGTAAAACCTTCAGTTCTCTGATGATCTGGTTCCTTATAGCCGGTTTAATTTCCAAATGAATTAGCTGCACATGAGAAGAAACACAAGTTATTTGGGAAAAATGATCAAAAATAGTACAGAAATTCCTGAGGTCATAGACTCCTCAAAAATAGGTGCGACAGAGAGCAGAAACCGTTTGGAATGACTGGAGAACGTGTTCCTGACCGATATCTGGAGAACTATTTGCAAAATAACGCGTTAAATTGAAAGTAGATTCGACTGGGAATCTAATTGGGTTCCAAATATTCTTGATCACCCGCTTACCTTACGAGCCATTATCAGACCGCTCGGCTTGTGCAAAACCTTTGTCACGACGCCACCATTTCCTGCGCCTAATTCGGCCAATTTTTCAAAATCTTCAGCGTTCAATTCGCCAATTTTCCTCTTTTCAGCTAGAAACGCCTCTAACCTCTCGCGCTGTAAGGAATCCAAGTTCAATTCATCGAATTTCTTTCGTATCTCCTCCACTTTTTGCGAGCCAATGCCAGCAGCATCGTTACTGCAGAGCAGAACAGGACATAAGCACAAGGCTTATTTCGTACGCGACATGTTGAAATGAACTAAAAGCCAGGGGCGGGAGAATTTGACCTCGGAACGACAAGACAATGATTAAAAGCGAGCTTATACTCACGGTAATACTGGATCAGGCACCGTAGTTGATGGGGCTATAGTCAAATTCAGTTTGTTCAACTTTTTGTTGGGAGGTTTGGACATGACGGCTAGCGGCACGTTGCTTCGTTTCCAGAAGAATGATGCTTAGAATCTACTTCCTCTTTACCGCAACATTCCGCATTGCACGAAAGAAATGTATTTTGCAGATCTAACCATCAATCTATTTTTCCCCTGCAGAATTACAAGCCCCAGGAGCAATAGAAATTCATTTGAAAGCGGCCTGGGCGACGAAAAGCGTGAAACAGACAATAATACTCTTTAAGTTTAGTCTGTTCAAAGCCTTCAGTACAAGTGGTCAGCAAGAAAAAAAAGAAAGGGTTCTAAAAAAGATTGTGGTATCTATATAAGAAGTCACATTGTGTATGATAACTTAGCAGTTGTTCAAGGAGCGAACTTCGCAGGCAGTTTTGAAATGATGTGAAAGAAAGATTCCAGAGTTTGTTTTAAAATAAAGGATCCTTGCTTGGCTGACCGGATGAAGCAGTATTCTTTTGTCCGTCGTTCACTTTCAAGTTCCTGGATGGTTTCTCGGGAGTGGAAACCGAAAGTATGTCGAGAACTTGAGGGTAGATTCCTGAACACGATCTTGTTTTGTTTTGTTTTATTTTTTTTTCCTGTAAAACAGTTTCTCGTTTGATTTTTGTCAGATTCAGACATACATCAGTCGATTTTACACCCTGGCCCGATAGAGTTCGATCTATTAGCTCTGGTTCGATCAACTGTCAATGTGAAAAGACTGTGCATCAAAGCACTCCGGCAAAGCAACTGGCTTGCGTGCATGTCCATCTCTAACTCAGTTTCATTCTGTATCACAGCGCCTAAGCCTATCATTTCAGAAAAAAAAAAGGCAAAAAATTTATACGCGTCCAGAAAGCAAAAAAATTATGAAAACGGAACACTAGTAAGTTATTTATTAATTTTTTTATTTTTACCACAAAATACCTGAATTGAAATAGTACTAACCACCTAAACGCCTGTTCCCTCGTGATTCTTGTGTTTTTGCACGTAGGAAAATAATTCCAATTTTCGTTTTGAAGAAGTCAGAAGAGAGGTTGTCCTCTGTTGATGCGAAGCCTAAAAAATGTACAGAACAAATCAATTAAGGAAGGTAAAATACATTATAAATGAGACAATAACGGAAGAATGTTCATAAGTGTTATTATCTTGGGCCAGGTGATTCAAAGCTGGGGACAACACAGGGTTAGTGTGAGATCTGATTTGAGATCTGAAGGCTTTGAAAGAAATTCAGTATAATTATTCTTGCCGACAATTTGGTGATTGAATGCTCTAAATAGAATAGAGAAACTTATCCCAAAAATTAAAAGGCTCTCGAACTGACGAGGAATAAAGAAACCCGGATTAAATTTTAACCTTTAATCGGACTTCGAACAACTTGGCTCTACGTAGCTTTGTTTCTGCTACTAAATTTATACAAACAGTGTTTGTTATTGCGGAAAACCTCCATGGTCAGTTTGAAGAAAATTAAAATGCTATAAATGGAACCGTATAGGATCAGTCGGGGGATTATTGTCTATTGCTTGCTATTATTAACATGGATGTGCTTGAAAAAAAACTTTGTTGAGTTTTATCGTTGGATAATCACGCTTTTAAAGCAAATTTAAATTACGCGGCCATATGTTAAACTACCGGTTGAATATACTCTTCGCAGCGCTAAAAAATGTCTTGAACCATTCCGATGAAGCCTTGAAATGTTTTTCTATTATTCATAGTATGGATTTGACTTTGTTTGAATGTTTTTGGTCATTTTATTTCAGTATACAGTGAGGTAGCACAAAGTGCTACAGGTCTAACATGAAACATACTCGTATCATCCAAAATGGCGGTAGTAATTTGACGTATTGAAAGACTCACTTTTCCTTAATAGTCGCTTAATAAAGTAACATACTTTCTTAGATAACTAGGATTCTAGTCTGTTAAATTTAGCAATCGCTGTGTCCAGGCAAGCCTTGGTTATTAAACTACAGGGAAAATTTTCATTATCAGAAAAAAGCGCCTTTTGTCAGGAATTCAGGTGTCAACCATGAAGACGAAATCACAGAGAGTAAAAAATTGAACTCTGATGTGGGTCAAAATCGGAAGTCTTCAGCATAAAAGAACAGCTAAAATCTTTATTCTGTGAGTCAAGAACCCTCTTTCAGGAGAAAATTTGTGAGTATTTCTTTGCAGAGTACCCTTTACAAATCAGGCATACACAATATTGAATGAGATTTTATAAGAAATCTGTTTGCTGCTAGCGGCTTTGAGCATGGCAATAACAAAAACACACAGAGAGTTCCTTTGAGTTCACTTTCTAAACTATTATTTGAATGATGAAATAATCTAACAAACAACAGTACAGTTCTGAGCCATTAGCATAGAAAACATGAATTCGTCAAATCTAGATGGGGAAAAGAGACAGGCAGTCCATCTCTCCATCAATAAATCAAGCGCATCTGAACAAAGCAAAATGGCGACCGAGTAATCTGTCTTTGTTTCCCGCATTCGCGGCAGCCAACAGAAACTTGGAATTCAATTATCCTAGTTCATTTTTGGCTTAACTTGTTTCCTAATCCTCACTTTTTGATCCCATAACGTTTTTAACAGCATCCTGTCTGAGGTCGTTAAATGATTTGCATTAAATACCATTCACATTCACTTGTGACACCTGGCTTGATTAGAAAGAAATTAAAAATACCGAGGAATACATTAAGCGGGGACAGCTTTGGAACCACACACGAAAGGCTGGTTCTTATAGTTCAGTTTTGCTCAATTTACCGTTTTCTTGCGAAGCTCTGCTTAACAGTGAGTGGTTCGCAATTCCCAAGAAGAAACACAAATTCCAAAATGTTAGCCTCTGATACTCAATCTGGTTCGTGACAGAGGACTGTTCCCTCAGACGTCGGGTCTTTTCTAATAAACTTGGCGCGAGTGTGAAATTACGCTACTTGCATCGTGAAATCTATTCCGAGCAACTTTTTCTCTCCCGCCTTATTAGTGATCAAAATGTCTGTTGTTTTACCGAGATCACGTTCGCGATCCAAATCAAGATCACGCTCAAGATCCCGCTCGAGATCAAGATCCAAAAGTCCCAGCAGCAAGATAGCAAAGGCAAAAAAACCAAGAGCAAAGAGAACAGCTCGACGTCCTGCTGCAGCACATCCACCGTACATTGACATGGTCGTCACCGCCATCACTGCGATGAAGGAGCGAGGTGGTTCCTCGAGGCAGGCCATTGAGAAATACATTAAAGCAAACAACAGAATCACTGGAGATCCATCTCCGCATCTAAAGATGGCTTTGAAGCGCGGCGTGCAGACTGGCAAGCTGATACACACCAAAGGCACTGGTGCTTCGGGATCCTTTAAAGTTGGAAAAGTACCTGCCGCGCCAAGGAAGAAACCAGGGAAGAAGAAAGCAGTCACTAAAAAGCCAAGAAAAAAGGCTGGCACGCCTAAGAAGCGAACAACGAAAAAGACAACCGCTAAGAAAGCTACGAAGAAGAGGAAGAAGACTCCAACCAAGAAGGGAAAGTCTCCAGCCAAGAAGATAACTGCAGCAAAGAAACCTAAAACAAAGACTGCTGCAAAGAAAAAGACAAAGAGCCCCAAAAAGCGAGCTACTCCTAAAAAGAAGACAGCCAAGAAGACCAAAGCCAAGACCAAGAAGTAGAAAGGAACAAAAAAAATTAAAAAACGGCTTCTTTAGAAGCCACCAAATAAAAAGAAAGAAATGACCAACGAAAGCGATAATCTTATGTTATTTGTTATTGTTTTCCTTTCCTCCTCCCAGATGTATTTGGTGTTTGTTTTTTCAAGGTGTTCTGTACAAATTTAGAAAATTTGCATTCCCAATGGAAATACATCCGATTTATTTTCTCATTCCAACTGCACCTCCCACCAAATCATAGTAAAGTGAGGATACAGCCAAGTGTGAAATCACTTCTCTAGGTCTTTTCAGGGGGTCGAAGCCTATTGGAAGAATTATCAAAGCCAAAATGTAAAAAAGATGCGACCGATGATTAGTTTTAAGCTTACTTTACCCTCAAGACTCTGTCCTCTGAAGCCCCGTGATCAAAAGGAAAATTGAAAAATTAGCAATAGCAGCTTGGTCTCTTAAAGGTCACACCTGGGTTTATAAGGGAGAGGTCTTATCTACTGAGAGTACACAGACGTGTGAGTAATTTTAAACAGTTTATGTACTTTGTGGTTACCACATCTGTATTTTAAGCTCGAAACAAATTTTTTTTGCCTTATCTTTTTGTATGCAACGTTCAAGTTTTGTTTTTTGGACAGTTTTAGACCGCAAACAACATTCTTGTAACGGGAAGAAGATCAAGTATTCTGAATGGTAAAGATAAAGGAGATAGGATTTTAGATTGCCTAGACTGCTAAATGAGACAAAACAAATCACCCCAAAAGTAAAAGACACTTACGTTTCTTTGAAAAATGAAAAAAAGGGAAGCCAGGTATAAAAACCCAGAAGTGTAATAATGAGAGAATATTGACCAGCAATAGTGCATATTGATTGGTTGATTTTAGTTTTTGGCCCTCTGACTGGCCGAGTCGTGTAATAAATGAATTTAAAATAGAAAAAAAACTATGCAAACTGTGGGTATATATATCAGGCTTTCAGAAAAACTAATAAGATTCACTATTTAAAAGGAACTAAAGAAATCATTTATTGAGTAATTTAAATGTGAGGAGATATGAATGCTTGTCATCTTGTTTCACAGTTTCAGATATTAACTGAATAATAATAATAATAATAATCAACTTTATTTAAAGAGGGTAAAACACATAACAGTATAAAACTGACAAACCAGTGGCACTCTGTTCCATGGTCTGATTTAGCTATTCTTGATTACAATAAAATAATGCAGAACATGAAAAAAAATTAAATACCACCCATGAAAAATATGTACCATCAATTTAAGTAGTTTGTCATGAGACAAATTGGCACCAATGAAAAGTTGCTCAACTAGGTAACACTACCTCTTTATATTAAAGCAATCTCAGTTATTTTATGATACACAACTCATTGCTATTCATTGCATATGGGTGAAACTGAGTCAAAGATAATCACTGTGGGGGTATCCTCTTTTCCACTCTAATTAAATCAACAATCTCCAAAAAACAGTCTTTTTGAAACGTTCAAAGAGTGGATAGGTTTTCCTGTGTAATGGAGTAAAAACAGAAGCCATGTCTTTTCTTGGATAATTTCTGTAAATTTAGTCACACAGCGAAATTGACTTGACATTGAATTAAAATCAAAGCATTCTAGAACTTCATAAATTCAAGGTAGGGCACATGCTATAGTTCTGCAAATTGTGCCTTTCCCTTGGTGTAAATGATGTGCAATTGAAACCAGGAAAGCAAGCACAATTTGTTAATTTATGAACCAGTGCCTCCTTAAGTACATGTGACTGTTATCTTTTTTCTAACATTTATTTCAGACCTCAAGATTTTCCTGAAAACTTGAACAGGTGAAGAGAAATTTGAAGGTTTCCCTTTTAATTTTGTGACACCTGAAATGCTGTTTAAAATATACCTGATGTGTGAATTTTTCTAAAATGTCCCAGTGAAACATGATCAGATCCCTGCATTTGCTACCCACCTTTAAGTTTAAAAGAATATTATACAATAAAATAAACACCTCACTCAAGATCAACTATACAAATAAATCAGAGCTGTCTGGCAAAAATTTGTGAATAGAAATTTTACTGTTAAAAGTGAGACACTGAATGTCTTTCACCAAAATTAAATACATTTATCTAAATACAAATAAGGTGTAAGTATCTACACTGCATGAAAAAAAAAAACATTTTGTCCATAAAACTCAAGAATAAAACTTCCCTGACCCTTTAAGTGGTTAATAATATCAAAAGTTTATCAAGGGGGTTATATCCTTGGTAAAGGTAACATCCACAGGACACCACAACTACAGCTAAGCTGGCCTGAAAACAAAAATGAAGCAGTGATTTTGCAGGCTCCTAAAAAATAAATAAAAATCATTTCATGCTACTGTCATTAATATGCAAACTTTGAGGCTCAGAGCCATCTTTGCAATTTCAATTCACTCTCCCCTTAATAATAAACATCATAAAGCAGAAGCTAACAAAATGTATCAAATCATCCTATTATAACCCAAGATCTGACCTTTCGAACCAACTGAAACATCATGCCTGCTCTATGATAGTGGAACAGACACTTAGGAAACCTGGACCTAAACTTAACACTGAAATAATTTTATTATTTATCTAAACCAAATAGGGGATCTGTCTATTTAACAATAACAACATGATGAAAAAAGAATCAAAAATGCTGTGTGAATAAATAATTTAATAAATTTAATTTTTTTTGTTCAGAATGGTTGCTTGCTGAAATAGGCACACTTCCACCCTTGAGAACTTATGGAATGAGGCTCCTAGCAACCCACAAAATGTCCACTTTTACACCATAATATCAAAGATTTGAGAAAATCTAGAAAATTAACAAAGATATATCATTTGAGAAAGATGAAATCATTCTATCAATGTCACTCATGTTCTGGGACGGTCTCCAAAGCATCTTCAGTGGACCGGGTCACTGTCACAACCTTCGGCTTTTCCCTGTGTGTGTTCACAGCTGGAACCTTCAAATCAATCTTTTCCACACGGCAACCGTATGCTACAGGAGTGAGCTTTATAAGGGTGTGCAAGGGGACACGCAAGTAGGGCAACTCATTGGAGCTGTGGTCTAAAAAGTAAGCCAGGAGGCATCGAGCTACAGCCTGGTGACAGATCACAAGCACATTGTGTTGTCTTTCTAGTTCCATGATTACTGGTTCTAACCGGGCAACAAGATCTTCATAGGATTCCCCTCTGGCATAGCGATAGTGGAATTTATCTTCATCTCTCTTAGCAAAAGCTTCTGGAAATTGTTCCTGTATTTCTTCGTATGTCATTCCTTCACATACACCTGCATCGATTTCATTGATAGCCTTCCACTTTTCGATTGGCCGGTCAATGGCACTTGCTGTCTGATTAGTGCGCTTCATTTCACTGGTCCAGACTTTGAGATCATCTGGCATATTTTCTTTCACAAACTTTCCAAGCACCTTGCAGTACTCCCAGCCCCTCTCAGAGAGATCAGAATCTCCTCCAATCCTCCCTTGTAAATTCATCATGCTTTCACCATGTCTTGACAGATAGATGGCTCTTGGGGTGATATGCAAGTTCATGATGTAGTACACTATCCTACTCTGTAGATATCCCTCAACTTTATTCATCAGAAATCGCTTTCCACCATCTATCACTTTCAGAAAGGGCATATTGGAATCATGATCCAAAGAAAGAGGTTCATAAAAATTGTTATAATGATTGATGCGGGCCTCAAAATCTTGGCGAGCCTCTTCTGGGGGTACACCCTGATAGTCAGGGGAGTTCACCTTTACTTCCAGAATGTTGGAACGAATGATCTCGCTATCATCGCAAACTGACTCCACGAAAAATTCCTTGAAGCCATGGGCGGTGAGGTGATCCGTGACTTTCTTTCTCCTAGCTCGAGTGGTGTTCGTTGCATCGAAGATGGCTACCTGTCCCTTGTCGCTCAGCCATTTAGTGATGTCTTCCAGAGCAAGTTCGGCACACTTCTCACGAACATTCATTCCATTCGTATTACTTGGATCGAAGAACGAGTGTTTGCAGTGAGCACCAGCCATTTCACGGCGGTACTCCCCGAGGTTGAAGACCTTGGTGTTTACGCCGATCCAGTTAAGATAGCGGGTAAGTTTTCTCGAAACGTAGGTTTTACCTCTCGCCGGCAAACCAACCATCACTATACAAGTAGGAACGTGTACAATCGGAGGACACGAGGCGGGATATAGAGAACGATTCATGGTGCAAAACTTAATTATGTTCTATCTTTAAAGTCACAATAACAAATTAAATACTGATATTGGACATGTGAAGGCAAGTGCTTCGAAATATGCCTCCTGAGCTTTGAGCATCGATGCAAATCGGATCAAACATTACATAAGCCAACCAATGAATGGACCTCCTTTTTGGCCAATCATTGCCATAGGTAGTAGCATTCTAGCCAATTGATAAAGAGGAAAACAAACCAATCGTGAACGTCAGCGCGAAGTATAAATTTTCCAATGCGCGCATTTGAGGGCATTCTGAATCATTCACGAAACCTAGATCTTATTCGAGGATCTCATTTCCACATGGCTCGTACAAAGCAAACTGCGCGTAAATCTACTGGAGGCAAAGCACCTCGTAAACAGCTTGCCACTAAAGCAGCCAGAAAGAGTGCTCCCGCAACCGGTGGCGTGAAAAAGCCCCATCGTTACAGGCCTGGAACTGTTGCTCTTCGTGAGATTCGTAGATACCAGAAGTCCACCGAACTGCTTATCCGCAAGCTGCCTTTCCAGCGTCTCGTGCGTGAAATCGCTCAAGACTTCAAGACCGACTTGCGTTTCCAGAGCTCAGCAGTAATGGCTCTTCAAGAAGCTAGCGAGGCCTACCTCGTTGGTCTTTTTGAAGACACCAACTTGTGCGCCATCCACGCAAAGCGGGTTACTATTATGCCTAAAGACATACAGCTTGCCCGCCGAATCCGTGGAGAACGCGCCTAAAGTGGATTCTACCATAATTTAAAGAAAAACGGCTCTTCTAAGAGCCACCAAATTTACCAAAAGTCAATGACCTATGGGGATTTCCTTTACTTTACTCATTGTTTGCTTTTGTTTGACCTGGCTTAGAAAACGATTTAATGAAAAAGTGTAAAAATCCTGAAACTGACGTGCCCCTCAATTGAGAGCGGTCACAAGTTACTTTGCTCCCTTTTTCGAATATATCGAGCGTAAAACCGCAATTGTAGCTACGAATATATAGTTCCCCCTTTTTGGCGGATTCCTTCGGTGCATTAACTGATTCTTAACTTTTGCAACGGACCACGCTGTTAGGGAGACCCTGCTTGAACCCCGGTCTCCGTGAAAGTCTGCCATAGTAAATCTACAATAAAACATGTATTTTACCACAAAAGATTAAACACCGAGTAGCATAGCAAAAGAAGGGACTATAACTCGCGCGGCTTTTAGAAATGATTTCCTTCCTTCTCTGGCTAGTCTCCAGTCCCCCAAAATCCATGAACCACCAGTCCTTCGCAACTAGCAACATGGCCGATTGAAGAACTAAAATCTGCGTCGAAAGGCAAGTGGTGGCGCTCGAAGGCTGATATTGGAATAAATGATTTCAAGTAGAACTTTCAGTTTACTATCTCAAGAATAGTTATCGAAGTTCTTTCGATGAAAAAAACTCGGATCTCTCGTCGCCATTCGCCATCAAGTACCCACTATTCAGGTGATGTAAACAAAACAAGGAATGCTTCGAAGGTAGAGGACCTAATTGCATTTTTTTTCATACATATATGATACAGTATGTCGCCTTTTCAAATATACCAAATAAAATTATTTTTTTTACCCATGTCAAATCGATCCAAACTTAATCTGAGGTTTGCTTAGAGAGTCAATGCACTATTCATTTCCAGCTTTCATTGTCGTCGCGTTGTGGTCTTGCTAAATTAAAGAATTGACTGAATTAAAGAAAGTTAATGAGATTTTGTTGAATAATTGCTGCTTCTAGGCAAGGCTTGTGGTGTCTCCAAGTAGCTCCACACCAGATATCCAACAGACATCCAAAAGTGACAGTGTATTTGGGAAGACACTCTTAAGCACACAGACGTCATTAGGTGCAAGGGATAGACAACTACAAAAATACCAGCAACAGTTAGAGGTAAGACAGTGAAAAGAGTTTACAGTACCTGATTTAAGTTAGTATCAATAGGAATAGACACCATCAGTAGTTTAACAATCCAGTAATGTGGTAGATTTCAGAGGTTGTTCAGTGACAGAGTAGAAACTTACTTGGAGAAAAACAATTTTAGCTTTGCTTGCCAGATCTCTTAAGAGACCTTTCCTAGATACATTTTTCACTGATTTATACATTATACTCAAGTCTTTATATTTCATCCAATGCCTTTGTTAAGTGAACAAGGGGAATTCAAGTACTCTAAAATTCAATTACTTCCATAATGATTACTTCTCTTTCAGCATCTAAAGAAAGAAAACAAGGAACTTAAAGCAGAGCTGCAATTCATCAGGTAAACATATTTCAATCTTTTCACTCCAAGATCTCACGAGTGATTCTTCTTACTGTCAGCCATACAGTTCTTATGATGTTAGTTTGGAGAATTTTGTATTGGATCAACCTAAAATCCTCTAATCGATATTTTTCTTTATTCTTATTACTTGTCTGCTTGGTATTGATATTGTAAGAAAAAAAAAATCTGCCTTGGTCACTCATGGGAGTTTAAGGGTCAAAGATTGGATGGACTAGTTGTAGTGTAATCACAGTGAAGGTGCATTTTACACACTCACAAAGCTTTTTTTCGGCAGTTCTCTCTATAAACAGCTTGTGGAAGAGGCACCTCAGGAGAGGTTTGATGAACGAAGAGTTAATTTACTTAAATCTCAGGTTATACAGCTAGAGAGACAAGTAAGTACATTAAAAGTACTCAATAAAATAATTTACTTTTCTGAAAGTATATATATTTTTATCCTTGGCCAGAAGTAACACTATAAAATGTTTTTGTACTTCTACTTTATAATAATGGAGTTGAAATCAAATTCTCAATAGCTAACAATTAAAAGAAATTTGAATGTGGAACATTTGGTTCTTATGGTGGAAATGTAATTGTCTTTATTAATTTTTTTTCAACAGGTTCTTCTCCAGGCAAGTGCTTTGCAAGCCAGAAAAAATGTGTTCATTCAAATTGAAAATAAACTTCTTAACTTAAAAGAAGCATTGAGGTATGGAAGACCTTCTATCCATTAACATGTGTCTAGCTTGATTTTTTAAGGAGAACAATTTAATCTGACATAAAGTGAACATGACATGGAAAACATTTTTATTTCATAGAAAATTATTAGATCTTGGTATTCTTACATCTGCTCTACATGAAAGCATCACCATTTGTTTTTTCTTTGTTGACTCTATAGGAGTCTTTACTCACCAGATGATCCATCAAATTACATAACAGTTTTGCGAGAATGTATACAGAATTTGGAATACAGATTAGAGGGAACAAGACTTGATTTATACAAAAATAAAGAGGTAACATTCTGAATTTTTTATTATAGTTGTCAGTGGGGGAGGAAAGCTCAACTACCTTGTATTAAAAGGTTTTTCTGTAATTTTGATAATGGTCATGATGACAATAATGATTTTTTTTTTAATACAGTCAAGTAAAATACTCTGTTGACTGTTTGTCCTCTTAGATTGCTGAGGCTGATGACCTCTGTCTGCCTGCCATTTACATGGGTGATTTCTTAAAGCAATCAAAATCTGTTGAAGATCAAACCCTGACATTGTTAGATTGTTGCAGTGGAAAAGTGGAACATCTTAACTTAAAGCATGTGGTGAGGTATAATTTATGAACAACTTATTTTGGATGATAAATTGGCAGTACAAATGTGAGGTACACAAGGAGAGATTTGAATCTAATATCTCCAGAAAAAAATATGATGAAGTAAACCTATTGGTATTTCATAATAGCAAGCATGAGTAAAGAATAGTTCTTTGAAATATATGTAAACCAACCTTCTTAGCTTTGCTTTTCAAGGAAAATGCTCTCTTTCAAAAATGTCATTGAGATGTGAACACTTTCTTACTCAGTCTAGGCTGGAATCAAAGCTTTGCAAACTCTATAAAAACATGGTTTGCCTGAATGAAATGCTTCAACTTGAGATCTCCTCACAACCAGCAAGCTTAAGCAGTGAACACATATCACAGCCAATCAGAGATAGGCTAGAAGGTCATGTGACAACAGTGACAGACATCTTGAGAGACTGCTGTCAGGACCTCTTGTCTCTGTCTGTCCTGTATCCTGCTGCACCCTGGGTAAGGTCCAGTTAAGTACTGATTACCTGCTTATGGGCTATTCCATA